CCTGCACTGCTTCCGTGCCAAAATCCCCCATTCTCTTCTTCCATCCCCCGCCGCTCTCCACCCAATTTCCGCTCTTTTCTCCCACCCTCTCCTTCCTTCCTTTGCCGCTGCATTGAATCGTAGGAGAACCTGTCAGAGATGGAGCCGATGGAGGTGCCGGAGAACCCGAGCATCATGCTCCCCCGGAAGATCAGCTCGGCTGCGCGGCAAACCCATCGCGTCAAAGAGAAGCCCGCAAAGAGGAGAAGCTCAAGAAATGGTTGGCCTCCGGTGGGCATGGAGGTGGCGTTGGGCGTGGAGGTCATGGCGGACGAGGCGGTCGTGGTGGACGGAGCCAGACGGGGCATGCCCACAGTACAAATGGCGTCGTGGACGGGGCATTACAAGCCTCTGTACGACTACCCCTCCAAGCAGCTTGGAAACCCCCGCCGGTACGGTGCCTTCCATCGTCGACGTTAAAGAGACATTATAGTTTTGGATGGCTGTCTCCCGCATCCTTGTCCCTGGACTGGTCCTCCCATGTCCGCGATGGATGCGGGAGGAAATTTGTGGGTTGCTGGTAGAGATGCCCTAAGTGCTTGATGATATGCCGGCTTGGTCTCTCGAAGGTGCTCATAGGGATAGGTTGTGCGTGTGTGCGTTCATAGGGTGCGCGTATGCATGTATTTATGAGCGCTTGCATTTGTACTGTGCTAAAAAAAATCAACGCATGTGTGCAAATTATGAACGTCACGACCTCTTTATATGGAGGATATGGTTTGCGTATATTTCAATTATCTTTTTTTTTCTTTGCAGGGGTAAAACAGAGTTATCTTTCTTTTAACAAGTATAAGGGATGGATCACCAGGGATGGATGGCGTTATGGAATACAAATGCGCCAAATAAGGCAAAAATTCATATGTGGCGAATCATGCAGAACGGACTAGCGGTGGGTGCTGAGCTATACCGAAGGAAAATAAAGGACGGCGTTTTCTATGCGGCGTGTGGACGAGAAGAGACGCTCTATCATCGCTTCTGGGCGTGTCCACACTCTCAGCTGTTCTGGAAAATCCTTCGGACGGAGAGAGGAGTTGCGGTGGCGATCCCGCCGTGTTCTATTAGCTCTTCTAGTGCTCTTGCATCTTGGCTACTAGGTTGGTTTGTGGCAGCCTCGGATGATGAACGAGCAGCTATGGTACATGCCACGTATGGGCTGTGGCTAGCACGGAATGAGGCAAAGGATGGGAAGAGGATCGCTGCAGCACATGAGATTGCCGCGTCGACTGCATCCTACATGGCGGAGTGGACAACCACTCACAAGCAGAAGACAACTGCGGTGACTACGAGGGAGGTGCAGCGATGGGCGGCCCCGGAGCCAGGGCGGGTAAAAGCTAATGCTGATGGAGCAGTATCTAGACTTAGAGGAAAGGGTGGTGGCGGGGTCATCCTCAGAGGTGACCAAGGTGACTTCCGTGCGGCGGCGTGCACTTTCATTGATGGTCGCGTGGATGCCGAGATGGCGGAGCTCATGGCCTGCAGAAGGGCGGTCCAACTAGCACATGAGATTAATGTTCAAAGATTACACCTCGAGACGGACAACATGGGGGTGGCAAGCATGCTTGCAGATCCGAACAAGAACCTCTCGGCCTCAGGTCCATATGTTGAGGAGATCAAGCAGATGATGCGTGGATTCAGCGACAGGAGGGTTTCGTGGGTAAGACGATCGGCAAACTCCGCTGCTCATAAGCTAGCTAAAGTAGGAGTAGGAGATGAACTCTGTAAGATTTGGTTTATGGTGCCACCAGACTTTGTGTTAGATGTGGTCTCTGAGGAGATCCTAAACTTTCATTAGATAAATAAAGCGGCGAGAGTTATCCTCAAAAAAAAAACAAGTATAAGGGGTGTTCTCGCAAAAAAAAGGTATAAGGGGTGCTTAACCACGAATTCGCCTTTGGTCACATGCTAGACGACAGGCTTTAAGTTGTTGATTGGTTTCATCGCAAAAAAAAGTTGTTGATTGGTTTGGAGCCAAAATTTGGTGAAGCTCAAAACCTAGAGCCAACATTTGGCTAGTGTTTTTGAGGAAATGCCAACATCTAACAAATTTTGGCTAGTGTTTGATCAGAGGAACATCCAAAAACTAGGGCCTAAGAGCATCTCCAGCCGCGCCCCCAACAGCCCCCCCCCCCCGGCGAATTTTTAGCGCCGGTGGCCGAAAATCGGCCCAGTCGCGCCCCCAGGATCTCGTTTAGCGTCGGTTTGGGCGAAATCCAGAGCCGGCGGTCCCGCCCCGAACCCAAGCGACCGGGTGTTGCCTGGGCGCGCTGGCGGAAGCGAAAAGAGGCGTGGGGCCGCTCTGTCGGCGACTGGAAGACTTTTTCCCGCCGTTTCCTCCCGCTCCCCCCTCTCTTCTCCATTCCTCCCGCCAAACCCCGCCTCCACCCCTGCCGTTCCGCCCGCCATGCCGCCGAAGAAGTACGTGATGCTGCGCGCCGCGACGGATCCCGTCGCCGCCGCCCCGCCGAAGCAAAGGAAGCCTAGGGCTCCGCTGTCCAAGCCCCCTGGCATGACCAACGTCGAGTGGAAGGCGAATGTGGAGCGCCGGGAAGCCGTCACCGCCGACAGGCGCAACAGGGCCAAGAAGGCCAGGGAGCGCGCGGCGGCCGAACAAGCGGAGGCGGCATGCGCGGCGGCTGCGGAGCGCGCAGCGGCCGAGCTATGCCGACGGGGACGCCCATGGCGGCTTCAACCCCGACATTACTTTCCCCCATGGGCGCCCCCTTCAGCGCACGCCCTCGCCCGCATTCGCCGGCGTGCAGTACCCGCCGTACACGTACTCGCCGCCGGACTACGCAGCCTCGCCGACACCACCTCTCTGTCGCGGCCTCTACTCACAAGCCTCCTCCTCGTCGCATCCTGGCGACGCCGACATGACGGAGGCCGACATGGAGGGCATCATCGCAGCCGGCTCGACTGCGGCGGCCGCTTCCCCCGGGTTCGCTACGCAGGACCTTGCCGACGTGGACGACGAGCTCGACTACGGCGGGGAAGAGCCGGAGGAGGAAGAGGAGGAGGAGGAGGAGGAGCCGGCGCTGGTGCCGGCGAGGAAAAGCAAGAAGAAGAAGAAGAAGGCGTCCAAGCCCGCCGAACCACACATCAAATGGGCGTCCAAGGAAGAAGAGTGCCTCGCCGAAGCGTGGAAGGTCGTCTGCCTCGACCCGGTCACCGGCACGAATCAGAGCATCGAGACGTATTGGGACAGCATCAAGGCCGAGTTCGACGAGCGGAAGCTCATCGACCCCTACTTCAAAGGCATGCGCATGAAGCGGGGGTCGAAGGGGATGGCGAACCATTGGTCGCTCATTCAAACGACATGCAACAAATGGCATGGGATCGTCGAGGAGGTCGCGGCTCGCCCGAAGAGCGGCACCAGCGTCGAGGATCAGGTAACGCACGCCGTCCATGTTGCTGCCTTTTCGTCGCGCGCGCGCGCCCTGTACGTGCCCTGGTGCGCACTCTGGGGCCGACTGGCGTTCTTTCTCGGCGCAGTTGCTGCGCATGTTCGCCATGTTCCGCGACGACAACAGCGACACAGATTTCAAGTACCTCCACGTCTTCAAGCCGATCGACAAGTCCGAGAAATGGGCGGTCGTCTGACACACCCTCGCCAAGGCCAAAGAGACGTACAAGTCGGACGCGCCGACAACGGGCGCGGCTGATGGACGCCCGGACGGCAACAAAGGTGCCAAGAAGGCGAAATACGTCGAGACAGCTGCCGCGCGCGTGCAAGAGTCCATCGAGCACTGCATCGCCGACGCCAAAACCAGGGCCGCCGAGCGAGAGGAGAAAACAGAGGCGAGGTGGGCTGTTTTGAGGACGAACATCGCCGTCAAACTCGACTTGCTCCGCGCCAACACCGCCGCGAAACTCCAAGCTCAAGATGCCAAGAAGAGGAACAACGACCTCGCCTTCTTGATGGGCGGCGCTGACATGCTCCAGAGCGGCGACGAGAAGCGCAAGGCGTGGTTCTTGGCCCAGCGCGGCCTCATCCTGAACCAGATACCGGCGACGCCGACGCCGCCGCCCAGCCCGGTGACTGCTGATGACGACGACGAGGAAGACGATGCATCCGCCTCCGCGACGCCCAGCCCCACCTACGATGCCTCTGCCGCGCCCAGGAGCACAGAAGACGCGCCGAACAGCCTGGAAGCCGCGCCGATTCCTCCCAGCCCGCGTACGCCGGCGACCACGCCGCCAGAGGTTGAGCTCGACGCTTGATGTACTCCTTTCGCGCTCTTCATTTTTTGTACGCAGAACTACTGCATGTCCTTTTATTTTGATCGCCGAACTGTGGCACCGACTCGCCGAACTATTGCGATGCGCCGGTTTGTTTTTTCGAATATGGAGCGCCTTGGGGGGCGGCGCCTGGGCGCGTGGTTGGGGAAAAACGAACCCCAAGGGCTGATCTAGCGCCGGCTCGCCCCAGGCCGCTCTTTTTCGGCGCCCTGGGGGGCCGAACGACTGGAGATGCTCTAACAAATCAGCTGCCAATTTACAAGGGTTGCCCAAAAAAAACTGGCTCCAAGTCTTTGATTTGAAGAATTGCGAAAAATTGGAGCCCAACAAACAAATCGGCTACCAATTTATTAGCGTTGCTAAAAACGTTGGCACCAAACAAACGAAGCAAGCTCTAACATACAAAATGTAGAGGCCAAATTCAACTGAATTCCTTGGAAGCAAATCAAACTCGCATGCCCATGGTTGAGGCTGGTTTACGCAATCTCAGCCGTACACGTGTCCTTTCGTTCACCGCACTGGTGTCGGCCGCCGCTGATCCGTCGCAGTCAAACCAATGATCCACACCTTTCCTGCCACCGGCCGCCAACCCCACCCAACCACCTATATATCCTCCTCACCCCACCACCAACCCAGCCAAACCTCGCCCACCTCGCCGCCGCTCCCAGATCCGCCACCGCCGCCTCCCTCCCCCTCTCTCGATCTCAATCTCCAGGTGAGACACGATGGCATTGCCGCTGCCCTCCGCGGTCTTCCTCCTGCTCCTCGTGGTGGCCTCGCCGGTGCTCTGCGCCGCGCAGAGCCCCATCTCGCAGCCGCCGTCGCCCGGCGCGCCCACCGCGTCCCCGCTCCTCCGCCCCGACGCCGACTCCGACGATGACAACGGATCCTCTGTGCCCCCCTCCCTGGCCCCGGCCCCCGCGGGCTCCCCGGGCGAGGACAAGGCGGCGGCGGCGTCCCCTCCCGCGCCCACCGACACGTCCCCGCTCCCGTCCCCCGCCGAGGCCCCCTCCTCCGCCGCGCACTCGCCGGCGCCGGCGCCGTCGACGTCCCTGCACTCCGCCGCCTCCACCCCATCTCCCGCGCCCGTCCCTGCCGCCGACAAGGAAGGCGACGACGACGACGATTCCAAGGAGAAGAAGGTGAACGCCCCAGCGCCGGCCCCGACCGCGATGGAGGTGAAGGCCAACACGGGCGGCGCCGACGAGCAGCGGGCGGTGGACGCGGAGAGGCGGCACGGGGAGGGCGAGATGAACGGCGGGAAGAAGGCTGGCGTGGTGGTGGGAGTGTTCTCTGCGACGGCGGTGCTGTGCCTGGCCGCCGTGGTGTACCGGAAGCGGCAGGCCAACATCCGGCGGTCCAGGTACGCGGACTACTCGGCGCGCCTCGAGCTCGTCTGACCGGCGCATGGTATGGAGATCGACGACTGGAGATTCAATCCTGGCTCTGTGATCTGTCAATGTGGCAGACACATACTAGCGCGGTGTTTTGATCTACTGTGTTACTCTGATTAATTAGATTCATCTTGTCCATTCTTGGAGTTTGGATATATTCTTTGATTAGTGGGAGGTTGAGATGGAGGAGAGCAATAACCACCATTGATTGATGTGGTGGAGACGATGGATGGATCGATCGAGGAAGACAAGATTATACATACAACAGTTTTCTCTCTCTTTTGTACGTATACTACTACTACTACTACATACAGACATTGGGTTATATTTTGACGATTCGTCACTGGTACTAAGTACGAACAATATACGCTGCATTCTTGTTGACACCGGGATTCAGTTTCTACTCCCTCCGTTCCGAATTACTTGTCTCGGAAATGAAATTCCGGACGGAGGGAGTAGAAGAGTGCGCAATAGCTCCGATGCAGATCCAGAGGTTGAGCAGAGATCGGCACAGGCTCAGCAGTGGAGTAGGAGTGAGTTTTGTTCCATCTATCTGTCTGCAGCTGCCTGCTGAGATCTACCTTAGCTGGGCACAGACTTGAATAACAAAAAGATGCTGTATTTCTTTCTCTTTGTTTATTTTCTTGGTGTCTGTCTGTCGGTTGCGCTCCATCAGAGTGGATGGAAGCTGCATCTTGTCTGGATCTGAATGGGCCGAACGAAGCAACACGCCGTGGTTCAAGGAAGGAAGCGTCTCTGCATCTTTTGATGCTCTTGTTTTGACCCTGCATTTCTTCTACTCAAAGCGGTCGAGCAGATTCCAAATGCTATTCGTGTTGTTTAGACCAAACTTTGCGCGTACGGTACTACTGCTCTTTGCGTCCCATATTAGTTGTCGCTTAAACGGATGTTCTAGCGTTGAAATGCTCTTATATTTCTTTACGGAGAGAGTACAGATTTGGCTACGTTATGGTACAGGTAACCTACAAACTGCGTTGCATGGGTGGACCAGGTGGCTACAAGATACTCTAGTGTAGATGATTGCCATTGCTGGAACCAACCAATTATTTCTGGGTTCTTTCTGGGTTGGTTGACGTTCCATCTGCCCATACAACACGCCTGCGGCATACTACACATGTGGCACGACACCAGCGGCAAAATGTCCCTCTTTTTTTTTTCTCCGTCCTTGTGGCGGTTGCGCACACATCAATCAATGTTTGGCACACACGCACGCACGATGAGCTGTTTGTTCACTGTACCAAACCCAACATTCAGGTTCGGTTGAAAGTGACAAGTGTACGCAGACAGGCAACTTAAGAGCAACTCCAAGCCGACCCAAACAGACTGCGATTTTGTTCATTTTTTTGTCTGTTTGGATTGACCGCTTGTCCGGCGTCCGTCCTGTTTTAGATTTGGATCGACAGTGCACCCGCCACCCTGTATCTGTCGGCTGGCCGCCCTATTTCAACAAATAGCTCATTTTTGCATTCAAACATATAGCCAAATAACATAGTTTCAACCAAATAAAATAGCATAGTTTTACAATCCGAATACAAGTTGTAATGTCTCACATACTTTTGCAAGGCGAATAAAGAAGATACATCTATTGGTTGCCAACATGAGCCCACATATACTCAGCCAAATCATTTTGCAGTTGCACGTGAGTTTCTCAATCACGCATGTCATGATGGAATTGGGTGAACTGTTCAAACGTTGCCGCTCCTCCATGCTCAGGCACAACATCCTCACCTTGAAACTGAAACCCATGATCGTACAGACGTTTCGGGTGATGAGGATACAGACCTGGGGTAGGGTCATAGGCCTAACCTATATGTCCTACCCAAGGTCACTATCCAGAAGATAAAAGACCAAGGGTAAACAAGAGAACACCAATCGAGTACGTCGAGTGCAATCCACTCGACGATCACATCACTCGACGGTTACCCCCTACCGTCACTCGACTATATGGGGAGTCACTCGACTGTATCGAAGACCAGGAGTCGGAAGAGCACGCAACGGCCGGACGTTCACTCCTTAGTCTTTATGAGCATTAAGAATACTTAAAACTGGCGTTACCAGTAACGCCCCTTACTTTATGTACATTAAGCCCCTTGTAATGGAGGAGGGCGGGGGTCCCGGCGCACTCTATATAAGCCGCCCCCTCCTCTGGGACAAGGGTTCGCACCCCCTGTAATACAACACACATAATCCAATCGACCGCCTCCGGGCACCGAGACGTAGGGCTGTTACTTCCTCCCAGAAGGGCCTGAACTCGTAAACCTCGTGTGTACATCTTCATCATACCTAAGATCTTGCCTCTCCATACCTACCCCCCTTTCTACTGTCAGTCTTAGTACCACGACAGTTGGCGCCCACCGTGGGGCAGGTGTCTTAGCGACTTGTTGGTGAAGTTGCAAGTTTTACTGATCATCATCATCATGGTTTCCGGCGGCGGATTGGCTGAGCGCCACGAGATTCGTCTTGGCGCGCTCGTTTTCGTCGCCGACGACTCCACGTGGCTTCAGGAAGCTCCCCTGGATACTGAGGCGCTTCCCATCCGAGGGGCGACGCACTTTCACGCGTGCGTTCGCAGCGTCCTTCTCCGGCAGCCGTCGACTCAATATCAGTCGGCTCCGATGGTGTTTTCCCTCCTCGTTGTTCGCCGCCGCAAGCGATCCGGTCGATCGCGGCTTCAGCGGTGGGTGAAACACGTGGTGGCTCGGCATTCGACCACCCATCAAGTCACGGCAATCGAGCCCGACGAAACTCTCCACGGCATGTTCGATCTGTCGACTGGCTCCGCGGAGACCGCATCCGAATGCGATAGCAGCGATCCTGCGGCCGAGGTCTTGATGGTGGATGGGCCGCACAGCCCGCCCGGTTTCCGCCACAAGGGCGGCGGAGACGGAGGCGGTGATCCGTCGCGCGTCCATGAGGAATACCGACCCGGGCCCCTCTCTTCGCGGCAGAGGGAAGAACTTCATCGCCGCAACATGGATGCACTCCACACGCCCATTGTTGGAGAAACCCCCGAGGCTCGAGCCTTGGAGGAGGTGCGCTTGGCTAATTTGGCTGAGCGCACTCGACTGGATAACCTTCAGCGGGCCCTCGACGAGCGCGCCCAGGAGCGGATCCATGAGTCCAGTCGACGACAGCTTTTTCCGCCTCCACATTCATGAGAATGATTCAGAAGTGGACACATGGATTCATGAGCAAAATACAACAGTATCTCAGTCGCGGAATTCATGAGTCCACATCCACGAGTCTCTAGATCTTTTGCTATGTCACCATGCCTTTTGGTCTAAAAAATGCCGGAGCCACATTCATGAGAATGATTCAGAAGTGCTTGCTCACTCAAATCAGTCGGAATGTGGAAGCATACATGGATGACATTGTGGTCAAGTCTCACAAAGGTTTCGACCTATTGACTGACCTTGCAGAAACCTTCGCCAACCTGAGAAGGTACGACATCAAGCTTAATCCGTCAAAGTGCACATTCGGAGTTCCAGGAGGAAAGTTACTCGGTTTTCTCGTTTCCGAACGAGGGATCGACGCCAATCCAGAAAAAGTTGATACCATCCTCCGAATGAAACGCCCCGTGTGAGTGCATGACATTCAAAAGCTGACTGGTTGTTGGGCGGCCCTGTGTCGATTCATTTCTCGTCTCGGTGAAAAGGCCTTGCCTCTTTACCGACTGATGAAGAAGTCTGATAAGTTCGAGTGGACTGAAGAAGTTGATGCAGCGTTTGTAGAGTTCAAAACCCTGCTTTCCACCCAGCCGGTGCTCGTTGCGCCAACCAGCAAAAAGCCTTTACTACTTTACATTGCAGCCACTGGACAAGTCGTCAGTACAGTACTCACGGTCGAGCGAGAAGAAGAAGGAAAAGCTTATAAGGTTCAACGCCCAGTCTATTATCTCTCTGAAGTTTTGAGTCCATCCAAGCAACGATATCCACATTATCAGAAGCTTGTCTATGGAATATACATGACCGTGAAGAAGGTTGCGCACTATTTCTCTGACTACTCCATTACAGTCGTCAGCGACACGCCACTATCTGAAATTCTGAATAACAGAGATGCAACTGGTCGAGTAGCAAAATGGGCAATTGAACTCCTTCCATTGGATATCAAGTTTGAGGCAAAGAAAGCGATCAAGTCGCAAGCAATCGCATATTTCCTTGACGAGTGGATTGAGCAGCAATTACCGACTCAAGTTCACTCGGAGCATTGGATTATGTTCTCTGATGGCTCCAAGATGCTAAATGGTTCAGGTGCGGGGGTAGTATTGGTATCCCCCCGTGGAGACAAGCTTAGTTATGTTCTCCAGATTCATTTTGATTCCTCCAATAATGAAGCCGAATATGAAGCACTTTTATACGGGTTGCGTATGGCCATTTCACTCGGCGTCCGTCGCCTTATGGTCTATGGTGACTCAGATTTGGTGGTTAATCAGGTGATGAAGGAATGGGATGTCAGGAGCCAAGCCATGACTGGTTACTGCAATGCAGTGAGAAAGATGGAAAAGAAGTTTGAAGGTTTGGAGCTTCACCACATACCCCGACTGAAAAATCAAGTTGCAGATGAGTTGGCAAAGATAGGATCAAAGAGAGAGGCCATTCCCCGAAATGTGTTTTTGGAACATATTCATTCACCTTCAGTTCAGGAAGATCCTTTCACCGAAGAATCACCACAGCCCAAGAGTGCCACAGATCCGACTGAAGTAGAAATTCCAGCTGTGGTCGACTTAGTCATGGAGGTTTTGGTCATCACTCCCGACTGGACAGTACCATACATTCTTAGGAAGGAACTCCCAGAGGATGAAGAAGAGGCTGGACAGATCGTCTGACGGTCTAAACCCTTCACTGTGATAAAAGGACAGTTGTTCAGAGAAAGTGTAACTGGGGTCTGCCAGAAGTGCATCATGCCAGAAGAAGGCCGAATGATCCTCAAATGATATTCACTCGGGGACCTGTGGTCACCATGCGTCCTCTCGGACCATCGTGGCC